TAAATTCTCAAATATGCCCAATATACCAGATAGCCACCCGAGATACTTTTTCCTCTGCGCAAGTTCCTGTTCTTACGAGATCCCACCTGGAGGCCTTTTTTGCGGCACTCTGTCGGAGGGGGATTCGATCACGGAGGACTTCTACATCAACCTTGCTGCCCTTCCGATGATGTGTGAGTAGTTTACCATAGATCTACGGGTTCATAACTAGTAGCTAGATGGCTTCTTCTCTCTCTTTGATTTTTAATACAATGTTTTTCTTGATGTTTTGGACATCTATTCGTTGTAATCCTATTTTGCGGTGTGTTTGTTGGGATCCGATGAATGTGGGTTCATGATCAGATTATTCATGAATATTATTTGAGTTTTCTATGAAATCTTTTATGCATGATTTCTATAGCTTTGTATTTCTCTCCAATCTATCCATTTGGCCAACTAGATTGATTTATCTTGCAATGGGAGAGGTGCTTTGTGATAGGTTCAATCTTGCGGTGCTCTATATCCCGGTGACAGAAAGGGACAAGACACGTATTTGTATTGTTGTCATTAAGATAAAACGATGGGGTTTATTCATATTGCTTGAGTTTACTTTGTCTACATCATGTCATCTTGCTTAAAGCGTTACTTCGTTCTTTATGAACTTAATACTATAGATGCATGCTAGATAGTGGTCAATGTGTGGAGTAATAGTAGTAGATGCAGACATGATTCGGTCTATTTGTCTCGGACGTGATGTCTATATACATGATTATTGTCTTGAATATCGTCATAATTATTCGCTTTTATATCAATTTCCCAACAATAATTTGTTCACCCAGCGTATGCTATTTTCAAGAGAAAAGCCTCTAGTGAAAACTATGACCCTTGGGTCTATCTGTATCATATATTAAATCCAAAAATAATTTACTGTATTTTTATTTATTTATTTATCACTGCGAGATTTGATCCTTGCAATTAACCGCCAAGGGAATGACGACCCTTTGTTTGCGTTGGGTGCAAGTATTTGTTATTTTGTGTGTAGGTACTACTAACGAGGTGTTGCTTGTATCTCCTACTGGATTCATAAACTTGGTTCTTAACCGAGGAAAATACTTATCTCTACTATACTGCATCATCCTCTCCTCTTCAAAAAAATCCCAACGTAGCTCATAAGTAACATAGACTTGCACATGAAGCCACTGCCTAGAGATGGTGTCATATTTAGTCTGGTTCTTGATACAAGTGCAATTCGCACTAATCAAGTGTTAGGCATTACTACTTATTTGTAGGATTGGCTATTGGAAGAAAAGTCTATGTTAAACTTTCAGCTCATAGAGGTTCTTCAAATTCTAAACAGGAAATAAGCATCAAGTGCTTACCATTCTCGTTCATTCAGGTCAAAGAAACGGATGATCCCAACCGGGGTCATTCGTTACTCTCACTGACTACCAGGCCCACATGTCTCCCCAATCTCTCTCTCTCTCTCACACACACACACACATGTGCGTTGGGGAAGATGACATGGAAGATGCACATCTCCTTGGCTTATGGGGCTTGAATTCTTTCACCATAGCACAACACCACTGAGGGTGTGCGCGGCGGTGATTTGGCATGGAGTACAATCACAAAAGAAGGTGGGAGCGGGAAGCCAATGTCGACCTTGCTCAAGTAGAACATGTCGCGATTGGTGCGTATGAGGGGAAAAACTTTCGATCTATTCATCAGCTATCAACGTAGTACAAAGAACACTAGCAGTAAAAATCACATCCAGGTCCATAAACCACCTAGCGACGACTACAAGCGCTGAAGCGAGCCGAAGGCATGCCACCGTCATCGTCCCTCCCTCACCGGAGTTGGGCATACCGCACTAGAGCAGGAACCACCGTCGATGAAAATAAGCGTAGATCGGAAGGATACAACTTGTAAACACACAGACATAGATGAATGGAGATCGGATCCACGTGGATACACCAAAGACGAACGGCAAACGAATCCCACGAGATCCGCCGAAGACAAACCTCCAACGCCGTCCGACGACACCAGAAGCACCGTCGGGACAGGGTCTAGACAGGGAAAACCTTATTTCATCTTCAAAGAGTCGTTGATGTCTCGCCTCTTTAAGCAGAACACAAACCTAAAAAATAAATCCAAAAGACATTATCCAGCCGGCAAGGATTGGTATCCAGCGCACCTCCATGGCCCTAAGGCCGCAGAGACGAGGCAGACCTGCACATGCGCCGGCGGGAAGCACACGAAAGCTAGAGGCTAGCCCTTTGCGTGAGCGGTGACGCTGTTACGAGCTTTCGTCCTACTTATTACTTCTGGTCCTAAAAAATGTCAGACATTAACTGGCCCTTCTCCTAACGTGCAAAAGACCCATAGCTAAATATTGGTGACCATAAATATTTTGATTAAAAAGTAAAAAACATGACAACTAAAATTAAAAACTTATATGATTTGTTGTATTTAATTATTGGTAAGGTGGATCTTTAATTTTTCATGCATGTTGAGGTGGATATTTTGCATGTATGTTTACGGGATTGGTAAATCTCCGTTGACTGAGACTTAACGAAGTCTCTGTCGATGCTATAATCGTGAGATCTTAAATGGAGATCCGTGCAAATTTTTTTTCTTTCTTCTTTCTATATATTGTATCACTTGATTAAGATTTTGTCAAGTCTCAGTCCAGATCTAGCCACATCCGTATGTTTACATGATGAGATGGCATGTGTGCATGCATATTTTTTTTTTTTAGGATATGTGTGCATGCATGTTGATAGGATTATCTATTTAGGTAGAGAAGATACTATATACGGTATATGCATCAACAAATTGTAGGAGTATAGTTTTTGTTCTAGCAACATGACTGCGCAAGAGCAACCCGGCCATTTTGCGACCGAGCCGGCAGCGCGCGCGTCGGTGAGCTCACGCCGCTGCGTCACGGCGATGACATGCCCGGACGTCGGTTCGCGCGCAGGGACACACATCGATCTACCATGGCGGGGCCCGCCCCGGCGCTCCGTAGCTCCACGTTCCGCGCCGCTTCCTCCTCCATCGCTCTCGCGGTCTCGCTCACCTTTCTCTAACTTTTCCTCCCAATTTCTCACCGCCCGCCGGCCGCACCAATAAAAACTTGAGCCGTGCGCGGTGAGCACGCCCTACTCTCTATGCCCTCTAATAGCTCGCAAGCTAGCTAGCATGGCATCTTGTGGCGGCGCGGGCCATGACGGCGGGCGCTCACGGCCGACGGTGGTCTACGACGACCTGGTGGAGGTGCGCGAGCACGCGGCGACGCTGCAGACCATCCTGCAGGGGTCGCCGAGCGTGTCGGCCGTGGACGCGAGAGAGCTCGTGAAGGGGATGATGGCCAAGCTGTCCAGCGCTATGTCGGTGCTGGGCGCCACCAGCGGCAGCGGTGTGGAGTCGTCTTTGGGGACAGGCCGAGGACCAGGTCCAGGTGGGAGGAGGAAGAAACCCGGCACGGCGTTGTCCGGGCCGCACCGCCGGAGCAGCTCCAGGAGAAGGTGATCGAAGAAAATCTTTAGACCCTCTATTACCCGTGCAACTACCTACGTATAGCTACTAGCATCTCACTAGAAATAACCACTTATTGCAACTATGCACACAATTTTACAAATTATTGTGGGCTCCTCCAACTATCTCTTTTCCAAATTGTGCTATTAATTTGGCGACCTAGTGGGGAACTTTAGGCGCCAATGATTAGTGCACGAAAAGTATAGCCTGCTTCTGATAATCTGACCAAGTTCGTTGTTGTTGTTGTCAAAAGTACAGATGCTGCCAATTAAGATTACTTGGGCATGCATGCATGCATGGGTCTATCAAATCATATGTACTGTAGTACTCCCTCCGTTCCTAAATACTTGTCTTTCTAGGCATTTCAACAAGTGACTACATACCGAGCAAAATGAGTGAATCTACACTCTAAAATATGTCTACATACATCTGTATGTAGTAGTCATTTAAAATGTCTAGAAAAACAAGTATTTAGGAACGGAGGGAGTAGTTGTTAATTAATCATGTCTGTTAATCTGTTATGCATGGCAGGTCGAAGAGCCCTTTCATCAACATGGTCACTGCTAGGACGCTCAACGATGGCAAGACATGGAGGAAGTACGGCCAAAAATATATTCATGCCTCTACTAGCCCGAGGTACTTACATATATGTCTTTTTCTGTTGTGCTTCAAGAAAAGGGAAAAAATAACTGAGGTAGTATGAACTATGAAGTGAGGTCTCATGCATGCAGAACCGAAAAAGAAACAACACAATGTCACTACGTAGACTTGTCAAAGTATAGCTGAAGAGTGGTTATTGAATCATTAGTTGAAGCTAGCCAAAGACACTTGCCAACTGGTTAATTTGTTAGTTGAGCTTTTTTTTTTTTGAGAAGAGCTTTTTAATTTTATCCTTTGAGGGAAGTTGAGCTTTTTGATTAGCTAGTTGTTCTTGTATATATATTGGAGTATTAGCTAAGGCTCTAGCTAGCTAGTAGAGCTGTAGCTAATTTGTATATGCACAATGGCACATCCAGGAGCTACTACAGGTGCTCTCATAAGCCAGACCAAGGCTGCCAGGCCACGAGGCAGGTCCAGGAATCCGACTCCAACCCGTCGGAGTACATCATCAGCTACTACGGCCAGCACACCTGCAAAGACCCCTCCACGTTCCGGTCACTCCTCATCCAAGGCGCCGCCGACGCTGCCCCGCCAGCAGACTGCTCAAACCTCATCAGCTTCCAGTCGATCAATGGCGCGGCTGCGAGCACGAGCACGAGCGCTTTTGCTCATCATGTCGTGAAAGAAGCGGTTGATCTTCATCCGGTACCTTACTCCCGCTTCTTCAACTACAGCTCCTGGCCGCCGGTGCAGGAGGGTATGTCCAGCGGCTCGCTGTCGCCGGCTGGCCACGGGAAGTTCATGCAGTACGCCGGTGGGCAGCTCGTCGACGTTATTGGCCGAAGGACGTTGCCGTTGACCGTGGGATCAGCGCCGGCGGAGTACTGGCCGGTCGTGGGAGCCGCCAGCGTCGACACGGACGCTGGCGCAGGCATGGACAGCTTCCCTTCCTCGCCGAGCAGCCTCGGGCTCATGTCGGGATCGTTAGGGGGGTCATTTGGCAATAACATTTACGACGACGACCTGTTCGACTTGATTCCTGACCAAGGTCGTGTACCCATGCATATGCATGCATGCAACACACGGCCCACTTTGCATGCATGGGGTAGTAGTAATATTTTTTTATGAAGGTATATTGTGTATGCATGTATATTGGGCATGTGGATAGAACATAGAAGGTAATATGTTTGTATTGGATGCCACTTGTAAACATATACTAGTACTCGGGATAGGGAGTATGTAAGTTTGCCTGTACGACCTTGAATTATGGATTTATGTTAAATTTCGTTTAAATAATATTAGAATGTTTTATCACCTTGCACAATAAGAAAAGGTACTCAATTGTCTCTTGTCCAAAATAAAAGTTTTGCAATTTGTATTGTTAAACCAAGTGGCAAGCCTAGTAAGCTATCTCAGACTCCGAGTCAACAACTTTAATGGTGGAACCAATATGATTTCTCTATTACTGGGAAAAGCACAACAAGATTATTTCCAAGGAACCTCAACAAGCAGGAGAATTCTATCGAAAAGGAAAATCACCTTATTTATGACAAAAAGAGCAGTGATATTCATATGTACCAGTTTACAAAGAAGTTATGCACTAGTTCAATATATTGAAGACGGTTATTTCCATGTTTTGCTCTTCGGTGGTCATTCCCTCTCTCACAGTTTGATTTTTTATATAAAGTAGTACATAAGAGTATGAATTCTGTAACGAAAATCGGACCAAAAGCATTTCAAATTTACAACTTTTGGAGATGAAAGCTCCATCTCAGCAAGATTTAGAATGCATACTTTGGTTAACTAGTACATTAAACAACTGCACATGGTTTGACAGTACAACCCGGTTTGTAGCAATCCGTTATAGCCTTTCAACCAAGTTACTAGTATTTGCCCTTGTTTATCAGATGATGCGTGTCACTAAGCTAACCCTTGAAATCAAGACACTGCCACACAAGGGTCTGCATCGATGCTTGGTTGGACCAATGGATATCCACGTTGGCCCTAACGACAATGAAAGTTGGAAAATGTTTTCTTTGCTTCTAGAGTTATTGTCATGCTAACTTTCCAAGTCTTTCACTCCAAACACTTTGGCTATGCCAGATGTATATTATTGTAAAAACTAGTGCAATTGGTTCAACCATTCGACACATGGCACCAACCATTTTCACATAGAAAACGAAAGCAAAACCTCATGCATGCACTTGTTCTCCCGGTGATAAGCTCAGGGAAATAGAAGCAAATAACATGTGTAGTTTCTTCAACATCTTTTTTTCTATCTTACATTCCTTGAAAACTAAAGCAATGAAAACTACTTGTCTGGTCACCACGAGTGGTCTCAAGTTCTCATCAAGTCAGTCCAGTTACATCCAATTCTTATCTGATTACTTTACATGTGGAAAAGCTGAGTGCTCCTTTTCTTCCTTGGCGTATATTCCAGGTATGCTACCAAGTAAAACTCGAGCTAAGCTTCAGCACCAAAGACTGAAGTCTAAAGAAGATGGTCCTTTCAGTTCATGGAGAAATTTCAACCATATATACCTCCGAACATTCCCTGTCTTAGCTAGTGCGGGTGGATCTAGCTTTCTGGTTTTGTACATGTGAATCTGGCATTCTGATTCGGTTCATTAGCCGTCCTTATACTAAACTACAATCAAGTAACTCACTGTCACACATACATGCACTAATTAAAGTTGTCATAATACGACAAATGTTTACTTCCAAATCGCATGGGGAAATGTCTTGGCGTTCCTTTCACTAAATCTATCAGTTCGGATATATATGAGGCCAGTGTTGTCGAGCTTGTTTATCCGCAAAAAAAAGTGTTGCCGTGCTTGTTTATCCCCAAATCGCAAGTGGTAGTTACTTTTTAGGTTGATGATTTCACGTGCGGATCAAAATCACCTGCCACACAAGTAGAATCTAACCGGTGATCCTGTCTTGGTAAATGAATTCTACCTTGGTCGGTTCATAGACTCCATCAAAGGGGAAAAGATTGTCTCCAAGATGTGGCAGCGTGCTTCTTAGGTAGGTACGAACACTGTTCTTAGGTAGTTTCTTTTCTTGTTGAGTAACCTCATACGAGTATAAAATTGGTGTAAGAACACTACTAGTTCCCTATATGAGATGTTTATCCTAAAGCACTAGACTTGCACATCACTACCTCGCCATGGTACAAGTGTGATTCACACTAACCAAGTGTTAGTGCATTTCTAACGATCCCTTATAACCGTTAGAGGAGTAAAAAATTTACTCCTCTAACAGGCAACTAGCCGATCCCTTATCCGCCGTAAGGGAGTACAAATTTTACTTTGGCCCCAACTTTCTCGCTAAATATACTCCGTCTGGAGGCGACCGAGTATCAGGGGCGGAGCCAGCGTATTAGCGTTGGGTTCAGTTGAACCCAACGACATTTCCTGGCCGAGTATACGTACTGATATACATACTTGCATGAACCCAATAAAAAAAAAGAGATGAACCCATCAACTTCGAACGGAACGCGCTAGAAGCCCAAGCCCAGAAAGTGAACTATTCGTCGTGTTAGTCTACCAGGCCTGTTTGTGGCTCCGTCACCTATTCCTTTTTTCTTTCCTTTTGAGGACACTCGTGACCTATTCTAATGTACATGTACACGGCAGCCGCCGCCAGCCTGATCTTTAACCTTTCTGTTCGCTTCCTCGACTCTCTCATGTCCGCCTCGATGCGCCAACGACGAGCCGGAAAGGGTAGGTCGGCGGCGGCGAGCCTACCGGCTATTGTGGACCAAATTTGAGGTACTGAGTCTGCATCGTTACATGTCGATCTTGAACAGGCCGTAGTTTCATCCATGGAGGAAAATTTGAGATACTCAGCGGAGATTTAATCCAAATTGGTTTATTGAATATGGTGGTTGGATTGAGTATAGTACCAAGGTGCTTAAGGCCTTCTGATTCAAAAAATTTGGTTGATCTTTGTCCTGAACTTCAAACTTACATTGACAATGTGCAAGTAGATGAAAGGTGTACTAGTTTGGATGGAGTTGTTGATCTTGCTAAACTAATGGTGCAGACAGATAAGTATGTTACTTTTCCTTTGGTGTGTCAACTAGTACTGATATTTCCCACTTGCCACATCTATGGAAAGATGCTTTCGCCTATGAATGTTGTGAAGAAAAGGTTGTGCAATAAAATGGGAGATCAGTTCATGAGCAAATGTCTAGTTTTCTATGTGGAAATGGCATGTTTTCTGCCATTAGTATTAAAGGGGACACTCTATAATGTGAGTGACTTTACAAGCTTCTTTCACTTAATGGTGCTTATTGTCAAACTAATTTTTCATTTCCCCTCGATGTTTCTAGGAAGATGAGAAGCTACACCTTGAATTATAGACTTATTTTGTTGCTACTCTATTTATAATATGCAAACAACAATTTAATAATTTTAGCCAAAACCGGTAATGTGCTAAACTCTTTCCGGTTTAATGTATCAGAAGTATATGATAAGTGATATCACATTTCTATTTGTTATGGTGTATTCTAGTGTTATACTCTTGTTGTAGACAAGCGTGTAATTAGGTTTCAAACTTATTTATATCGTACCAAATCTCCATAACAAGTGAACGATTGAACCCAATGACCAAATTTTCTGGCTCCTCCCACGCCGAGTATAATTTTTCTTCACGCAAAGACCTCGTGGCTGGCCGGCGACTCACGTGAAGCTCCCATGGCCTCGCCGGTGACCTCAGGCCTCGCCGGCGACCTCGCTAGTGACCCCTGACTGTACTGCTACTGCTACGGCCACTGTGTGTCGCTGCTACGTGTTGCTGTTGCTCGTCACCGCCAGTGCATGGTGGTACTGCTGCTTGCCGTCGGTGCGTGCTGATGCTGTTGCTGCTCCTTCCCGTTGCGTGGTTCCGCCGCTGCTCACTGCCGCTGGTGCATGCTTCTGTTGCTTGCCGCCGGTGCATGCTACTGGTAGCGTTCGCCACTGGTGCGTATTGTTCGCCGCTGCTCCTCCCGCTATGTACTGCTACTCTCCCGCTGCGAACTAATACTGCTGCTGCAGCTCGCTGCCGGGGTGTGTTGCTACTGCTCGCCTCCGCAAGTGCGTGGTACTACTACTGCTCGCTGCTGGTGCATGTTGCAGCTGTTGCTGCTCCTCCCCATTGCGTGTTGCTGCCTGCCGCTGGTGGGTGCTTCTGCTGCTTACCACCAATGCATGCTGCTGCTACCGTTCGCCACTGGTGCGTGTTGCACGCTCCTGCTCCTCCCCTGACGTATTGCTACTTTTGCTGCTCGCCGTTGCTCCTTCCGCTTCTTGCTGCTACTTCTGCTGCTCGCCGCCGCCGGTGCGTCCTGCTGCTGCCCACCGCCACCGGTTTGTGCTGCTGCTGCTGCTGCTGCTCCTCCCTGCTGCGTGCTTTTGCTGCTACTGCTCACCGTCGGCGTGGTCGTCATGGTTGCCACTCGCCGCAGAGGTGCATAGCAAGTGTTTGACAAAATGTATGACCCAAACTTAAGTTTACTCCATTATATATAGGGGGTCAGTTAGGTCCATTCAAAACTTAGTGGAGTAAATATACTCCACTAAGGTTTACTCCGAGGTTTAGGGCCTGTTCTGATCTCTTCCCACTCCAAACTTCACAAAATCTCGGTCAGTAAACCAGCCCGAACATTATAACTCCAAGAAGCTGAAATCCAGGAAGCCATTGTGGGTTGTAGTTCTTTTTTTTGAAGCTACTGATTCCTAGCTCCACGTTTTTTCTGAATCTGAAGCTAAAGTTATTTATGGCTGTAATGCCACCGCCAAGAAAAACGATTCGGCGGCTCCTCCATGATTGAGCCCGCACGCAGTCGCTCGCTCAGATCTCCCCTCTCCCTCGTCTCTCCCCTCGAGCCCTCATGGTTGTCGTGCCCCGCCGCCACGCCTGGCTACCCCCATCGTCCACCGATTCCACGCCTCCGCCCACAGATCCGTCCGTCCCAGCTTGTTTCCCGCTGGATCCCATCCTCAGCGGCGCCAGGAGCTGCGACCCCATGGCTTGGAGGTGCTAGCCTCAGCGCCATGGTTGTGGGCAGTTCGGCCCCAAATGGGCTCCTTTCAGCCGGCCCAAGGTGGTAGCGAGCAGGCATTGAGCGCCCCAGCTGGGCT